GTAGAGTCAGCTGTCTTAACCGCGGCTTGTGTACTGCATCATTACTGTCTGTTCCCCTTTCGGGCTTGAACTGATGGTAAAACTAATGACATTATTTACTGTCTTTACATTTATTTTGAAAGATGAAGCTGTGATTATGGTAAGGGGCGTTACATTTCCGACGAGTGCTTGCGGTGTTCGGCCAATCACAATGCACTGGGTCAGCTGGCCAATCAGAGCAGACTGCGCTTGTCGGAAGGAGGGACTTTGTAGAAAACGAAGCGTTTGAGAGAGGCGGGGCATAGAGGACCTACAATAATGTACAGTATTTGAAAAATAATGTGTTTTTTGAACATTAAAGCATGTCAACATATTCTGTTACACCAAATACACAAAATAATGATCTTTAAAAAAGCATCATATGACCCCTTTAATAGCTTTCAGTGATTCATGTTGTTGTTGTTGTTGCATTCGATTTAATAATATATCACATGTAATGCAACACGAACAAATATATATTTATTCATTTGTATTAACGTTGTTTTATGTAACCGGTTTTTCTGATGACAGCATCTGAATAACCGGTTTTAGAAGCATAATTAGATGCAACAACACAGTAAAAGATCTTATTTTGTTTCATTTTGGACACAATGGCATACTTTTCAACTGCTTTCACTCATTCATGAGTGTTTTTGATTCGCTGAAAGAACCTCCTCGGAGTCCTTTTCCCGGATATCGAGCTGCACGTGTGGTCATATTTTGACAGTATTTAGTAGTTTTACAAGTGTAATTTTGCTTTGACACCTGTGGGTGTAGTCTTTCCTCAGGTAATGATGTTGAACTTCAGGTTTCCCTCACTATCTAAAGAGCTACATTATCTGTTATGTAGCCGATGTTGTATTCCCAGATGTCTTGAGGTTAGCCAACCAGAGGAAGTATGAGAGTCAGCAGGCTGATATAAACACCAACCCCTCGGTTTATTTTTAGAAATGAATTACTGAAAAGGGAAAGCATTTTCTCCAATGCCTTGACTTTCAGAGCTCCACGGGATGTGTGCATGGACTTGCATTTTAGCCTTTCAGACTTAAAGAGAAATTCCTAAGTGTGTGTGTGATCAACAGGGTATTTAGATCAAACTGTTTCAAGTTGAATTATAATGCCAAATCTGAGGAAGTCATAAATCTCTCTGTTCTGGTGCCATTCCCACTTTCTGTGCGTTGTTGGCTTTATCTGGATGGATGTAATGTCTTCCAAAGCATGGGAGTGTCTAGAGAAGAATGCTTTAAGGCACTGTTGAGTACATGAATAACAGGAAGAGTTAGAGAGTGAAATTTGAGATCATCAAGGAATGTTGAAACACAACAATAACCATATTTGATGCACTAAATGCTTCCATTTTGTATCAAATACAATTGTTTTATTACCCAAGTACATTAGACCAATATTTATCCCAGTTGGATGAATAACAGAAGTGCTGTAAAACCCTTTCAGCTGAGAATAAATAATGGACCTTTTTACGGACTGTGATGACAGATTTCCAGTTATTGATGTAAATCTAGCGAAGATTTTTATGTTGTTGTTTAAAAACGTATTCACATTTCTTAACATTCTGCCAGAAGAAATTTTTTTTAACACTGCTAAATTTGCACAATGGAAAATTTGACATCTTTCTCTCTTCTGACCACTTTAATCAACCTCTCTCTCTCTTTAAAAAAAAAAAAAAAAAAAAATCTCTATATTAGGGATGTAACAATTCACTCAACTCACGATTTGATTCACAATTTTTTTTAACAAAATGAGATTTTAGACAAATTATAAATTAAATGTGTCCTTTTATTATTGCTTGGACAAAATACTGTACGTTTCTTCTTTATGAAATTGAAATAAAACACTATAATACACTAATATAGTACTTGTAAATTATTGCTCTTTTGTTGGTTTTGATTGCTTCTATTGTCCTCATTTGTTAGTCGCTTTGGATAAAAGCGTTTGCTACATAACAACATTTAAATATAATGTAAATAACAAAACTAAATTTTAAAACAAGCCCCAAATCAAATAAATAAGTAACACAAATAAAATAAATCTCTTCATATAAACAAACTAAGGCTTTGTCTGTGCTCTTTCCATTTCAAATTAGAGGCAACCACTGCATTTTAATCATGATCCAAACAAAGATGCTGCATACATGCAACATGAGCAGTTTTTAATCTAAATTACATTGTATAATTTCGAAATTTGAGGCAAAAACAGAATGGTTTGACTTCAGTTTTGTGAAACTATGCATACAAAATATCTGCATGAAACCGAAACAGCAGACGAGCTGAATGAGAGGCAGATTCACTCTCTGCCAGCAGGTGGCGCTTAAATTATTTTCCTGGTTTCCGCTGTAAACAAAGCAGCGCTGCACTTATGAACTTTAATATGCATTATACAGAGGCAAGAGGAAAAGGAAAAAATACCATCGAAAGACAGCAAGTTCCCCTCAGACATACATTCATATAAACTCCTACCCCTAATTGAATCGCGATTTGTTTAGCATCTCAACTGATTTGAATGGTCACATATTTAATTCGATTTTCAACCGGCTCGCGGTTAATCGTTACATCCCTACTCTATATTTTCAATACTTTTTTTGTAAAGTCATAGAAATGCTATGGTGTATTTTTTTCTTTTTTTTTCTTTTACTATTGGAGCAAATAGAATTTTTTATATTATATTATATATTATATTATTATATATATATATATATATATATATATGTATGTGTATGTATGTTGTAGTTTCTGTTCACCACTATTGAAGTTTATCCAACGATTATTACTTCTGCTACTGAGAACCACAAATGTAAATAACAAAACTAAATTTTAAAACAAGCCCCAAATCAAATAAATAAGTAACACAAATAAAATAAATCTCTTCATATAAACAAACTAAGGCTTTGTCTGTGCTTTCCATTTCAAATTAGAGGCAACCACTGCATTTTAATCATGATCCAAACAAAGATGCTGCATACATGCAACATGAGCAGTTTTTAATCTAAATTACATTGTATAATTTCGAAATTTGAGGCAAAAACAGAATGGTTTGACTTCAGTTTTGTGAAACTATGCATACAAAATATCTGCATGAAACCGAAACAGCAGACGAGCTGAATGAGAGGCAGATTCACTCTCTGCCAGCAGGTGGCGCTTAAATTATTTTCCTGGTTTCCGCTGTAAACAAAGCAGCGCTGCACTTATGAACTTTAATATGCATTATACAGAGGCAAGATGAAAAGGAAAAAATACCATCGAAAGACAGTAAGTTCCCCTCAGACATACATTCATATAAACTCCTACCCCTAATTGAATCGCGATTTGTTTAGCATCTCAACTGATTTGAATGGTCACATATTTAATTCGATTTTCAACCGGCTCGCGGTTAATCGTTACATCCCTACTCTATATTTTCAATACTTTTTTTGTAAAGTCATAGAAATGCTATGGTGTATTTTTTTCTTTTTTTTTCTTTTACTATTGGAGCAAATAGAATTTTTTATATTATATTATATATTATATTATTATATATATATATATATATATATATATGTATGTGTATGTATGTTGTAGTTTCTGTTCACCACTATTGAAGTTTATCCAACGATTATTACTTCTGCTACTGAGAACCACAGAAATGTATTGGTCCAATCCATGTTTACTTTTAAATATATATAAAAAAAGAAAGAAAACAGAAATGGTTTTATTTCAGTAATTTGTCTACATCTCATTTGCTATAATTCAATTGTATTCTAAATAAGCATTTATGTGTTGTATTTTATATATCGGAATTAGGCCTGCAATCCTGCTCTGTATATCAATATTGGCATCAGCCATTGAAAAGCCCCTATCAGTTGAGCGCGTATTAAAGGCACTTTTCCCTGTGTCCTCTCCTGTCTCACAGCTGGAGTGTGTAATGCGTCTGGTGCAGGTGGGATGTGGTGTGAACTCTGTGACCTCTCGGTTTGCCCAGACACCTGCTCATATTGCTGCCTTCGGGGGTCATCCTCAGTGCTTGCTCTGGCTGCTGCAGACAGGAGCTGATATAAACAGACAGGTAAGACATCACTGCATTATGAGATTGTGTATGAGACACCTTTTTGAAGGCGAGCATGCGGAACTTCTTTATTTACATGGAAAAGTGAACAAACATGAAGTTATGCGAGAAAACGGAGCAAGAAGTGTTCCAAACAAGTGAAGATGAGGAAGAACTTGAAATAACACACATTGATTAGCAATGTCACAGCTGGCCACATGACTGTTTTACAGCAGCTTTAAATGTGATTCTTCTGATCAGAAATTTGACTTTGTACTATCCATTTCATATAAGTTATACTGTTGTTTTTTTCCCTCGAGTGTTACATAACATTAAGCTGTTAAGAATTTTAGCACTGAATAATCAATCATAATAAATTTAATGTAAAATATTTAATGTAAAATTATATTTTATATTTTTTACAGAAAACAACCTGATTAAGTTACCATGCCATATACAGTTAACAACTTTAAATAGTCTAACATTGCTTTATATGGAATTTTATTGTAAAATTATTTTTATTGTAAAAAATAATATCATAAAATAATTTTATTGTAAAATATCAAATATTTAACGTACAAATAAATATATATATTTTTTTACAAAAAAGTAAATAAACAAAAATGCTGCAGTAAGTGCCTGATTGAACAATTTGTCCCAGGAATTTTTTTCCCCCAGACCTGTTGCTGTCTGTGTTTCCATCGCGGTCTAAAGTACCGAGAAGAAATCGTCTGGTGATTTCTCAATACCAATTACGCAAATTTCGGACTTGGTCCTCGGTAGTTCGGACTTTGTAAGTTTGACTCAGGAGTGTGAACTCCCGCGGACGGGACGACACAAGTCCGGTAATTCTGCAAACAGCAGCGTACTTCATAACATCAGTCAGCTCACCTCGACTACTGCAATTTTCCTCACTGTATTTAGACGAAATATTAAACATCACTGCCATTTTTCGTTTTCATTTAAACATATTAATAGCCGCAGAAATTAGTTCAGGGAACGTACATAGCTACATTACAATGAAACGAAATATTATATCAAACAGTATTGCCTCTTCATTTTCATTTTAACATATTAATAGATTAATAGAATAAAGACAAAAGATTACCTATTAGATTTATGTTGACGCTGACAGCGGCAAATGTCAGAAGGACTAGCCAAGTTGAGGCTGCTCTCGTCGGGAAACATGAGCACTGAGCACCCGCTGATCGCCTGGAGCTCTGAAATCGCTGAAGCACATTTTCAAATAGGCGCTGTCGTTATAATTAAACCGCAGATTTGAGTTTTAAACAACTACATTCTCGCCTGAAATACTACATTTCATGACACAATAACAGTAATATTAAATAGAATAAATGGTGGTTGAAATACAATGCTGCATGAACTCAACCAATCACCATGTACAGCACCCAAGTCCCGCCCCCGAATGTTCCGGATCTTTGGAAAAAGTTTTTTTCTCGCTCTTATTCCATGGATTTTACTCCTTTCCCTCCACATTTAAAAAAATAAAAATTTTAATTTCAACAACGTCTTAACAGAACAAAATAGGCTAACTTAAACTGAACTGTAAGTCCTCACAGACTGAGACATTCATTTTATTCATACTATAACAGAGAAACAAACCGCCATACAAGACCATTAATCCAAATAACATAAAATAAAATACATTCATGCAACCATGAACAATGTAGGGGATTAAACAAAATCACACTTATTAAACAAATCAAATAATTTCTTGGCCTTATCACTTCTCATAATTTTTAGGATACATGGCAAGCTCCTTTTTAAAGACATTAAACTGGGGTGCAGTTTTCAAAATTGTACATTTGTGAATAAAGTATTTTAATATGAGAAGTAAACAATTTACAACAAAGTCTACACTTTTGCCCTCCAAATGTTCTCCAAATTTCACCATGTCCCAAGTAATAGATGGAAAAATACATATTCTTTGTTTAATCCAATTACATACTTCATTCCAAAATTAATTAGCCAAATTACAATGAAGAAATCAGTTCTGATAAATGTAGTTTCAGCATCATTATTACAGAATTGACAAATATTACAATCCACATTAAATCTTAATCTCAGAAAATCCTTCGCAGGATAAATTTCGTACAAAATTTTTAAATGCACTTCTTTATATTGTGGTGGAAGAGGAAATGGCAAATACTTGCATCTAAATTCATTAACTGATTTCCTATTGTTTACTTTTGTATAAATTTAAAGAAGAAACCAGTCCGATGTATAGTTGACATTTGAGGCTTAATACTATAGAAAAGCATAGTTTTTCAGTTAGTGTTTTCAGCTTATTTCCATTTAAAAATACAGCATGCAGTTGGATTATACTATGGTATAAACATCATTCAATGTAAATTGTGATAATCGTTATTAATAATCGCAATTACAATTTCAAGGGAATAATCGACAATTATGATTTTTGTCATAATCGTGCAGCCCTAGTGTCCATTGAGTAGTAATGTTCCTCCATCTTCAAATTAGAAGCGATTGTAAACGGAAAAACGTATAGCAAACTTGAAAATAACAATGTCGGGTATAATGGACTAACTCTTAAAACTAAGTGGAGTATAAACTCATCACTTTTAAGTAAACACGGGACTCATTTATGGCGCAGATAAAAGGTCAACTACTCAGTCCGCCATCTTGTTATACAATCATTTTACAATCATGAAAGTTACAATTTAATTATTATTTTTTTTTTATATAAGATTGGATGTTTTATTGTTTTTGTGAGCAGGGACTTTCTGAGGGGCACATTTTTACCCAGAACTTTATTTAGATCCTGGTTCCTGCGGTGGAAACACATCAAGAACCGGCCCAAAGTCCCTAGTTCCTGGGGAAAGTTCCGGCGGTGGAAACGGGGCTATTGTTGCCGTGCCAAATATGGTTAAAAACTGTCAATGATCCAACATTGCATTGTGTAGTTTTATTGTTAAAAGCTGTCAATTTTATGGTTTTTGCTAGTAAAAATTGTTGTTGTTTTTTTTACAGTGAACAACAGTAAAATGACATTCCTAACACATAATTGTATCATTTTCTTCTCATTTTTGTTTTGTTTTTAGTGTTATATTTTCTGCATTATTTTATTGTGATGTTTTGTCTGTATGTGTACGAGCATTGGCCGTATTTTATGGGCAAGCTATTTACAATGATTTCTGATTAATTTTATGGTTAAAAAGCAGATTTGGGTTATTTAGTAATAAATTGGTATATCAACATTATGTGACTTCATGAAACATTATGAGCTAAATATAAACGTAGGTCATGGTATTGTTTGAGGTGAATTACACCTTAAACAATACTACAATTTCCATTTTTGGTAAAAATGTAATAAGATATTTGAGCGTGCATTAGGTTCTGTAGTCAAGATTATGGTCATGCCAACCCCCACAGTTTTCACACATGAAAATATTTATGAAATTTAGCTTAAACATTTGCTCATTTTTGATGATATGCCAGACTCAGTCAGCCTTGGTTTACTGAGGCCCTGGGCCCTTTATGACTAGCTGTTTCACTGTGTTCATGTACTGTATCACTGTGTTTTCATGTGCGCAGAATATAGAAATCCCCATCATCAGCGTGTGAGCATATTTCTGATTATTCATGTATTCTCCGCCTCCACCATTCACTGGTGTGTTACAGCAGAGAAATTAGATTACTAGGCCATTGTTACATAACCAGTGGTGTGTTCTCCAAATATAGACTAGTTTCTCATCCCCGCTGGCTCAGGCAGATCAACATTAATGACTTAAGGGCATCGCCTGTCCCATCGACTCCTCTCTTACCCAGTCTTGTCTTGTACTGCTCGGAGGAATGTAGCTTGAGTGAAAAGCTGCCGGGCGTCAGTCTGACCCACATTCTTCTCCCATGAATCAGTGATTCTGTTGAAAGGTCTGCCTGATGCTCAGCGGCTCCTTTAAGAGTTTACTGTAGCTTTCTGTCAGGGTGAAAGGTTCAGCCGGCTGCTCCACCAGCTCCTAAATAAATGATGATGCTGGGCTGTGACGGAGAGATTGCACTTTCACTTCCAGCAATATGGTGATTGCTGCCGTATTCATCAGTCTGCAGACACTGGTGTTATTGTTAACTAAAACTGTTAGAAATAATTGTTGGTAATTGACAAAGTTGAAATAAAATAAAATATTAGATGGAAAACTTATATTTGAAGAACTTAATCTTGGTAAACCAAATTATAAATGTTGCCCTGGCAATTGACTAAAGATGAAGACTGTTTAAATAAGTTGAGAGAAGTTAAGTTAAGAGAAGTTCTAAGGGTGCTTTTACACTTGGTTCGCTTGCCTGGTCCGAACCCGAGTTCGATTGGACTGCGTCCATATTATTTTATTTGGGTCCGAACGACGTCGCAGAAGAAGGCGGCAAATGCATAACATTGCTCTCTGCACTTTTATATATTTAGTTTTTTTTAACCGTTCGTTTTGTTTACAAAGCTTCGATACGCCTTACGAATGTACTGCAAATGCTCTAAAGAATGCTGAAGGAATTAGAACAGAAATTAGATATACAGCTATATGTTTGCAGCGCGTCAGTCACGCTTGTCAGGAAAGTGAGTGAAACACAAACACACATCTTTATCAAATAATACGTCATTAATAGCGGTTCACTTCCGCGATTTGGTACGATTGCGTTCACATCAGCAGCGAACCGTACCCCAGACCACCCTTTTTAAGCGAACTCGGGTACGGTTCGTGGGTGCGCACCTGAGTTCGGAAGACAGCATTCACATCATCCAAACGAACTGAACTCTGACATCAATCGAACCCGAGTGCGCACCAAAAGTGCTAGTGTGAAAGCACCCTAAAATTACTAAAACTGAAATAAATTAAAGCTAAATAGAAAAATGTCACAATCATGACAGGCCTGTAGCACGAAGCGAGATGAACAAGCTCAGAGTTGCAGAGTAAGTTTTGAGTTGACAAAACCCGATAGCCAACCTGGTTTAGATCTGGTTCACCGAGCTCACAAAGCTCGATATAAACGTTCTCCATCAACTCAGAGTTTGCGATTAATTCTGTAGCGCGTGCACCTGAAAGTGTGACACGTGCAGCAAACAGCCAATCACACGAAACGTGGAGATGATCACCAAAGCGTCAGTTGGATTCACTTCTCGCGAGAGTTGCCGTTTTCTTGCCGTTCACTTTTCTGCTGAAGATTAAGAGATACCGTTATTAAAAATGTAATATGTAAATGTAAATTTTAATGCATTTACAAGGCAGGAATAAGCACTTGCACTGCAGCAAAAGTTTGGCAGCAGAAAGAAAATATTATGACTATGCAAAGGAATCAATTGAATTTATTTATATATAGTTTCACAAAGAACTCAAAAGGAAAACGCTTGAGTTTAAAGTCATTTTAATAGTTGGATATTTTAAAGCTTTTCTGTCTGTCTATATATATATTATTTAAATTCATTTAAATACGAAGCTTAAAATTAATTGCAACTTCATATAATAATATGAATATATTATATGAATTATAAACCATTACATTTAATATAATATAAATATAATAAATAAGTAGCTAAAATTCCTTGACTGTAAACTGCTTTAATTTTGGAGTAAGAGATAAGGGGGAGTGGCTTCATTGCGTCAGATATATGTCCCTTTGCTCACAGCTCATTGGTCCAGTTTGGGTTTGCGATCTCTAACCCAGATTCCCAGAATAAAACCTGCTCCAGAGCATGGTGGCCGTGTTGTGTAAGTTACCATCTTCTTGAGCCTGAAAACTCAGAGTTTGCTCAAACTAAACGTGAACTTACCTGGGTAAAAACTGAAACTGGCTTTGTGCTACAGGCCACTGCTCCCAGCTGGTGCTTTACATTCTCTGTGTGTTTTGTAGGATTATGTTGGAGAAACCCCCCTCCACAAAGCGGCCCGTGCTGGCAGCATCGACTGCATTAACACGCTCCTGGTCCAGGGAGCCAAGGCAGAGTAAGTCTTCTCGAACTGCTGCTCTCTCTAACTGTATCTCTCTCTTCCCTTACATCAACCCCACTGGTGCTTCATTTAAGAAGGGCTCCATCAAAACCGAAACATTGATTCTCTTGATTATAAGGCTTTTATTTCATTTCTTCCACTGCAAGATAATATGGTCAACAAAAGACACTTATAGTGAGACCGTTTTGAACCGTCTGAGATTTCCCTGCCCTCCTCTATAAAAACCGATGAACCCTATTGTCCTGCGTGGTAGAAATCTGACTGGTTTTCAATCTCACAATTTTACTTGATTTTAAAACCTGCATGCATGAGTTACAAATAAAAGAATATCAACTATCATTTTATTTTCTAATTTTAATGTTTGTTTTTAACTGATAAATTAAAAACGAGTTTGTGATTTATGTAGGAATATTTTGAGGATAAAACATTTTAATAGAATGCCCATTTTTAAATGATACTAGATGACATTTTTATTCAGAAAATATATTAATGGACATTTAAAAAAAAGGCATCTCCTGAAATAATTTTAGAATTTTTATCATAGTAATTTGAAAGGCTCTATATTGCTTTTATTGTTGTTGTTGTTATTGTTAGTTTATATGATCTATTTTTTGAATGTTGACTTTAGACAACATTTTTAAAGTTATTGTAAACATTATATTGAAAGAATATTGATTGAATTGATTGAGTAATGCAGTTTAATTGTTTTTTCCATGAATATAGCCATTGCTGCATTAATTAATTAAAGATTTAAGCCATGAAACAATTCTACTACAATTTGTACCTACAGACAAATGTTGAATAAATGGATGTTTGGAAGTACAAAAAGTTGTACACTTCTGGATCGAAATAGGCATGTTGTTATTATATTGCTATTACTGCAAGTTCCCTTATAATGTTTTTAAATTAAGAGTTTTTTTTGTTTTTTTTTTGAAGAAATTTTTAATTTACGTAAATTGATTCATCCTGACAGGGTAACAAAATATTATAAACATTAATGAATTATGTATCATGAACTAACAATGAACAGCATTTTTGCAGCAATTATTAATTTTAATTAAGTTAATGTTCATAATTATGTTATTGTTCAATGTTAATTTGTTTGTTGATAGTACATTGAATAATTATACCGTTTGAAATGTTAATTTAGTACATATTTTGGTATATGTAAACTTGAACATTAACCAACATTTATTACGGAGTGTCTATTTACACTAACTCCGCCCACCAATGTGGGATTGGGTTAGTCAACACTAGAAAAGACGGTTGTGAAACATCAGTTCCAGTGGCGTAAATGGTAAAGCGCGGGCTTTTTACGCGATCGACCCGAGTTTCGAATCTGCCTTTTGCTGAACTTTTTTTCCCTCCCTTTTCAAATCTTTCAAATCAAATCAGAAAGGCATTTATTTTCAATAAAAATTTGAAAATAATACAAAATTTGAAAATAATTTATCGGGTAGGTGTAGGGAGGGATTTATTGTCCCAGTAATGTGGCAGCCATTTAATAATTTGAATTAAAATGATCATTTGCACTCAATACGTTATTATTGCTTACTCTTTTATAATGTACTACAATACTATAAATAGCATATATCACTATTTACACTTAGCGCAAATAGCTGCTGCCAATTAATAAATGCTGTTCTTGTATTGTGCATTGTTAGATCATGATTACTAATTGAATCCTAGATTCAATGTGGAACTTGTGTCCTGTTTGTCATCCAAGTTAAAAATGTGATTTTGAAAAGTGACCTAATACACTCAATCCATTTTGAAATGTATTTTGATGGAGCTCTTCTGAAATCTGTGACCAGATTTGGTCTTACTGGCTTAATTTTGCCTAAATGTGAAATGTATTCTGAATTCAGTAATTTGATAATCTCTATCATGTCTTCTATAATCCCCTGTGAAGTGCGGAGGTAATATCCTTTTTGTTCCCTTCACTTTTTGATTTTAAATGTGTTGCCTTTTCAAGGTTGCGAGCTGTTGCACATTTCCTCATAGCTCAAAAGCAAACAACAACTAATGCTGTTTTAAATTGTCCTTGGTTGCTAAGGTTTTTTTCCTTGTTGGGAGATAAAATGAAATGAAGTGTGAAAGACCCCATGGTATTCTGGGGGAAATTGAGCTCCATTCAAAATGTCTCTGCAGTGTCATTTTATGGCTAGTAATACATTTCTAAGTTATTTCTAGCATTCTAAAGCTTGTATTCTAGCAAAACATTATCTGAAGTTGAACAAAAAATAATGCAAGAAAACACACAAACAGCTCTATTTGATTTTTAAATTTTGCAAATAGAAAAACTAGGCATGTAGTAGCCATGTAGTGTTCATCAAATGCTGGGGTGTCCAGTCCTGCACCTAAAGGGCCACTTTCCAGCAGAGTTTAATTTATGCCTGCCAGAACACACCTTTTTGGTAATCTTAAAAACCTTGAGCTGCTTCATTTATAAAACACTATGTAGAAAAAAATGATTCTTCCTCTGTTAAAAATTATTTTTAAAAAAATGACTAAATAAAAATACCAATAAATAAAAATAATTAATAGCTATTTCCTTTCCCGTATTTTAAAATCTGGAACTTCAGCTAACAGGATTTAAGATAAGTTCATTTGATCCTTCCCATTAATGGCACAGCACATAGCACACAAACATCACAATAGTCCTCTTCACAATATTACCAATATGATACATGCACGTTTAGAAATATCCTTAGTAGAAAACCAGTAATATGATTTTTATTTTAGTTTTTTCAAAATCTGCATGGGGGGGGGGGAAATGCAAAACTGGATGTTTTATCGGTTTCCTCCCTACATATGTCTAGTGTTTACTTTAATTGATTTCTTGAGATCTGAATCCAGCTGATACTTCTCCTTATAGGAACACGTCAGCCACCGATGAAAATATTCTCTTGACAGCAGCACCATAGTCCTACCTTAAAAGTTGGCAAAAGAGCACCATTTCATTGTGATGTCCAGAAATTATATTCCTTCAAGATCTATTGGACTGAAACCAAAATAATGTGAATGGCATGGAGAAGACATAGGAACTTAATATTGCCCTAATGTATTCCCAGCAGACTAGAACTAGATTTAAAAAAGGCTTATATTCCGCTTAATGTTTTAAATGTCCTATATAAATTTCCTGAAGAAATGAAGAAAGTGAGAATGGACCCCTTTTGAATCCTTTGGAATCAGATTCACAGTCATCGGTTGTATCCATGTTTTTCTTTTTCCAATTGGACATCTCCAGACAGACTCATTCTTGTTCATGGCTTAATGGAAAGACTTCCCCATGTTTTAACTTGATGGATGGACACACTACATAAGTCTCTCACTGAAATCTTGATTCTTTCTTCACTGAAATGTCTTCAATAGTTTCATCTTCACCAGACATGTCCACTCTTCATGGTCTACCAAGTACAAATAGCCAAGTTCTTCGAAGAAATGTGCTTCGTCATATTTTCTTTCTTCTTGTTCCCTCTCCTTCTATGGTGCAGAAAGTTTAGCACTCCCTTGTCCTTTAAAACCCCCGGGGTCTCGTGTTGGTTTAACATAAACCTCAATCAATTCACTTTGTTCAGCTTCTAATGCTCTTTACCAGTGATGTACACAGCTTCAAGTGTACATTGTGTCTTTCTTTATTACCTAGTGGAGAGATTTCAGATAAAACATCCAGTTGAAATTACCCAATGTGCTTTATAAATTGTTTAAATGTCCTTAATGTAGTGTGGATTTAACTTAAGTAACTGAACTCATTTAACTCTGTGTAAATGTAACTCATTCAATTACCAAAAATACGCAGTGCCTTAATAAGAATATGATATTGCAACCATTGCCTAGACTTAACTCTAACATGTTGAGTCGTCTTTATCTCATGCAGACGACACGAGTCTAGCTGAAGCAAATACTGTTGCTTTTTATCATTTCTTGTCCCTTCAGTAAAGTAAAATAAATGGGGAAAATACTCAGTTTACTATAAACCATTTAAAAACATAGATCCTTTTGCACAGACTCTTATCACTTTGATTACGTTTTGTTTTGTTTTTTCTTCTCTTCTCTCATCATTCTCCCAAAGCCCTCGATCCATAAGTCTGGCAGGACTTATGTGGTTTATACGTGTGGTTCAGGTAGAATAATAGTAAAGGAGAACAGGGTAAAGCATAGGCTTAAATATCTGTAGGGTTTGCATTACTAGATCTTAATCATATGAATGGCATTACTAGTGTTTTGTTTTAACCTGTCTGCATCTTTTATTCTGAGACTTTGTTCATAGAGACAAACTGTTTGTATTTACAATGTCGCCTGTAGAATTTACCCTCTGATATATGATTACCCTATGATAAAACATGTTCTTTTATGAATCATCTGTCACCTTTGTCCTTATGAAAGTGGCATGATGACAAAAGAAATGGAGATTGCATTTTGTTAACTGTTACGGCAAAATTCTAGAGAACGTCTACACATCTCAATGTTTTTGCAGCTATTGAATTCGAAATGACTTGACTTTTTCAAGTAATCCTAGAAAAGGGGGAGAGCATTCCAAATAGACACTGCTGACTCACTCCAAGTTCCCTCAACGAAACTGCACTGTTGTGGCATTAGGAGTGTTCACTATCGCTCCCTTCAGTATCAACACACTGGCAAACTGTTGAGGTATTTCATGCGGTGATTGGTTTTACTGATAGGCCATTTTGTACCTAGAACTTTCAAAAGACAACTTTTTTTGTTTAAGTTTTAGATCTAGTTTTTGTTTTTGACCTGCATGCTTTGCTTAATTGTGCCCTTAAATCAATGCAGTTGATGTATATTAATTTTTAATTTTAATGTTTGTTTGTTTTTTTTGTAGACTAACCATAAGACGTATCTGTAGGACAGGTCTAATCAGTCCCTTCTTAGTCTCGTCCAGAGTAAGCATGGTTTGATGCTCAGGAAGTTATGCGTTAGGGCTCAACCAATGGAAAAGAAATTATGAAGCGAAAATAGAGAGTAGCAAAGCATATCAGGAATGAAGAAACAAAATGAATGCTTCCGTTTCAATATTTAAATAAAACATTTCACTCATTCGCCGAAGTGAAATTGTCATTTGTCACAGTGATATCTGTTCATACAGTACTGAACACCGAAATTACCAGGAAACGGTGGCAGACCTGGCAGGTCTAATGTGTGTATATAAACATATCTGACTTTCAATGGTAGAATATTGTAAGTTAAAGGGATGTTCACCCAAATATGCAATTTGTCATCAATAACCCATGCACCATATCCTTCCAAGCCTATTTGACTTTTTTGTTCATCTTCGAAACACAAATGCAGCCATTTTATTGAAATGAGATGTTTCTGTCCCACCATTGAAAGTCAATTCCACCAAAACATTAAATGCTTTTAAAAAATCCTAAAGAGATTGTGAAGTTTTTCTGAACAGATTTCATTTATCTATTTATTCACTTATAAACATTGATCAATGCACATACATAAAGAACATCCAATATGGTAAACGGAAGCTCAACCGTACATGCTTGATGCATGAGAATAAAGCTTGTGTGTCAAGCAAGCACATTTGAGCTTCTGTTTCCCATGCCATTTGATGAACTATGCATGTTCGTTGAGCATCAGCGTTTTGGTCTAATAGACTTTTAGCGGAGGGACCGAAATATCTCAGGTTTCATTAAGATGTCATCATTTGTGTTTCAAAAATAAACAAAAGGTTTGTAACATGAGGGTGAACTATTTTTTGAGTGAACTAACCCTTTAATGTGCAATTCCATAGTTTTAAATAAAATGAATGCCATAAAAGTAGCTGCATTTGCAATGTCACAATGCATTTAATACATTTTTTGTGAAAAATTTTAATTGTGTGAATGTATTCCAATCCAAACGTTTAACAAAATGTCGTTTAAAATTAATGAGAAGGATGAGAAGAACCATTATTTATATATATATATATATATATATGTTCATCTATATAGTCAAACTAAAGCAATTTATGAAGAACTACAAAAATAACAACTTAATTTCTAATTAAATACGTTTTGATATTGTCAGAGAAGTTCCGTATTGTCAATTAAAACGGTTGTAAATTCACCAGAATTGCACAGATTCAAATTCTGTAACATATGATAAACACAAAAAGGCTGAAAGATAATCTCTCTCAAAGATGATAAATGTGGAACAATTTCTGAATCGAGAAGCAGTTAGGAAGTCCGTGTAAAGCAATATTAATTATGATTTCTGAGTTTGTCTCCACAGAAAATGTTATTAACCACCCAGCCAAATGTGAATGATGAAAAACGGCATGTAAATAAACAAGTTATCAAAATCTTGAAAAAAAAAACGTATTCTCTGCTCTCAGATGCTGGGGGGTGTGTCCGCTGGCGGTGCTGAAACCACGCCCACTCGCGGAAAAGTTGCCGCCTTTCTCTCAACTGTCAAATACCGCTAACGGTACAACCTGAATGAATGCTCCCTCCAGCAGCTTCAGTGGATTTACACAGCCATCTGTTTTGTTAATTATTGCAATCAAGTAGGGCTAATATTCATTTACGTGACAAAGGCATAGCTAGCTAGCAAACTGTAGCCAATGTGTTGCCAAGTCTGCGGTTTTCCCGCGGAATTGGACTAACGTTACTTTAACACTGTTGCCGTGGGTTGTTTTTCATGTACGCGGGTTGAAGCGACCCCAATAACATGATATTTAGCCCCTGGAATGCGAATTGTACCGGGAGACCCGCCTCGAAATGCGATTGGAAAACCTGGCAATCATGAACGGTAATAACAGTAACTTGCGATTGAGCGGGCGAACCACTGATCATGCTAATGCGCTAAGTTACTAACGTTAGTTATAGGCTACACAAAAATGGTGAAACTATAGACTTTAACTCCACAATTCAGTACTATGTTACATAGCTTAGAGTCTTTGTAACGTGCAATAACTTTGGTATTTGTTATTTCATCAATAACGTTACGTTATGTCATTTCTAACATTTCTGTGTTTAGAAACAATTCCCTGAATTGACTTTACACTTAATTAAAGCTTGCAGTTTAGGCGAATGCAGCATATTAAAAAGCATAACCAAAATGCGTTTCTCTTGGTAGCGGTTTACTAAAAAAAAAAAAAACTCTATTCTGTACCACTGATCTATAATAGAGAATTATATTATCATTATGTATAGATCAGTGGTACACACACAGAATGATATTAACTCAGGATTCTGAAAACTTTGCAAGGGTGTATATCACCATACTGTCTTGATTTAATTAAATTACTATATAGCCAAAATACTAAAATATGTCTCAATTCAAAAAGCTAAATAAATATACATAACTTATGAACTGACACACTTCTAATTTAATTTTATTTAGATTATTAATAATAATGAGAATTAAGATGCAAATGTTTAACTTGAGTAGCTGTAACTAAATGTAAATTAATAACTGCATAGGTTTTCCTGTTCATGTATCTTTGACGTTTACATAAACTGAAATGATCTCTAAAGGTGCTAGAAATCTGATCTAACTCTGTGGACAATATATAAACAAAACAGTTTTCAGTAAATCTGACATTCTAAATTCAACTGACATCGTAGTTTCAGACATCTAATATCAGGGATATTACACACATGCAAGAATATTATATATACTGTTACTGATATTTCGAGTAATATATTATCTGTAATATTCACAATTATCGAGTTGTTTGCTGCTGCAATTGCAAAAAAAAAAAAAGATTTCAACCATCAAAGTAAAACTTACTATTTCATTAGATACCTAATACAAACTTTTTTATAATTCATTAAAGTAATGTTTACCAAGAATAGTTGCAATAGAGTTGTAATATAATTTATAATTTAAATATCTATTAGTGTTATCGGTACAAATTTAAAACCTATACATATCATAAGCATAAATATCATAAGCAGGAAATGAAACGGTGAACAAAATTATCTTAATTATATAAATATATATTTTTTTTCATGTGTATACAACAGAAATATTCAAGTCACTCACAGATAGTGACAGTGGATAGACTGTTAATCAATTGTCCATTAAGATCATTGTGTTTGTTTTGATAATGATTTCAGATTTCTTGCACCTAAGAGGTTCATTTTGAATTGACACCTGCCAGGATGGACACGTACCTTCTGAAGCGTTTGTAAAAATGTCGTTTTGACATCAGAACGTCCGAGAAGCATTCATATTTTTCTTCAGATTTGGGTAGGAATAAGTGGGGAGGGTCTGTTCAATGAAAAATGTTTTTTACTTTATTTGCTGGAAATTGTATTATTTTTAGATGTTTGATTTTAAACATGTGTTATGTGTTGGAATGAATGTGTGTATGGACTGTGGCCTAGTTAGAGTTTAAAAAAAACATGTCTGAACTCTGAATGATTATTGTGGTTTATATATTTTTCTTTAAATAATGAATACGTGAATGAACAAACCTTTTCCTAAAGCCACAAGCAAACCCCTTACTTGATGAATGTCACTCAGTGGTAGCGCATACAGGAAATAAGTTCAATTGCATAGTGTATTTAATGATTGTTACAGAATAATGATTGGCTTAAGTAGCTAGCACAAATTTCACACGGATTAAGATTCGTGAAAATGAGATGTAGGCTTTGAGTGACTGCCAGCAATTTTCTTCCTCTTTCCAATCAGAAACCACTTTAAGTGCTACATAGCACCATCTTTAAAGATATAGGTGCTATGTACCACCTTAACTACCCCAAAGTACCACTGAAGCACCATTACAGGTTCTTATAGGTGCTATATAGTACTTAAATTGGTTCCCCTATGATTACGAGCCAAAGAACCACTTAGTGGTGCTACAGGTGCATCTCAATAAATTAGAATGTCATGGAAAAGTTCATTTCAGTAATTCAACTCAAATTGTGAAACTTGTGTATTAAATAAATTCAATGCACACAGACTGAAGTAGTTTAAGTCTTTGGTTCTTTTCATTGTAATGATTTGGGATCACATTTAACAAAAACCCACCAATTCACTATCTCAACAAATTAGAATATGGTGACATGCCAATCAGCTAATCAACTCAAAACACCTGCAAAGGTTTCCTGAGCCTTCAAAATGGTCTCTCAGTTTGGTTCACTAGGCTACACAATCATGGGGAAGACTGCTTATCTGACAGTTGTCCAGAAGACAATCATTGACACCCTTCACAAGGAGGGTAAGCCACAAACATTCATTGCCAAAGAAGCTGGCTGTTCACAGAGTGCTGTATCCAAGCATGTTAACAGACAGTTGAGTGGAAGGGAAAAGTGTGGAAGAAAAAGATGCACAACCAACCGAGAGAACCGCAGCCTTATGAGGATTGTCAATTAAAATACAGTAAATTAACATACTTTCCAGAAGGCCAACAATTCACAAAAAAATTCTTATGAAGTATTCTAATTTGTTGAGATTGTGAATTGGTGGGTTTTTGTTAAATGTGAGCCAAAATCATCGCAATTAAAAGAACCAGAGACTTAAACTACTTCAGTCTGTGCGCATTGAATTTATTTAATACACGAGTTTCACAATTTGAGTTGAATTACTGAAATAAATGAACTTTTCCACGACATTCTAATTTATTGAGATGCACCTCAACTACCACAAAGAACTGCTGAAGAACCAATTTTTTTGTGTGTGTAGCCATGTGCTTATTATGGGAAGATTTCAACCTCTGCAGCTCTAATTTGGAGACCGGCAACTTGGATCATATTTCTTGATAACCAGTCACATTATAGCCTAGACGTCATTGAATTGCTTTTAGAGTTGTACGACAGCCAGACGCTGTTTGTGGATACCATAGAAATTAATGATACCACAAAATTTTCAGTTCTCTTACATAACTGCAATATTTTTCAGCTTAAACACTGAAATAGATCTATCAAAAACAAATGTTTATTGGTAAACTTGAAGATTAGTTGACAGGCTGATTTAGAGGAACACTAACTTGCTTTTCTGTTCTGCATTGGATTCAGTAATATTTTCTTAATGGCAAGCTGGACTGTGAAATGGTGTATAGTTAGTATAAATTGCTCTTATTAACCCCCGGCAGTTTAAATTGTAGTTGGTATAGAATAGTGTTAGTTCAAACAAATCTGATTCAGTTTTCGATGTTACATGTAATAAGAGTGGAGCAAAAGCTGGCAGTACTTTAAAACCCATACTGATACATTTGTTATAACAGAGAACATAACACAAATAAAAAAAGTGATTAAAACTACTCAACACATTATTGGTGTCTGTCAGAAATTATTTTGGATTATCTGAGGTAAGTCTGTGTGTATTTACTGTTATTGCGCTGCCAAGAGTCACATTTCTGTGTTCTCACTGCATTCAGGATAGAAGTGTTAGCAGGAGCTCCAGGGGTAAGTGTAAACGCTGTTATTTTGCCCTAGATTTTGTTCATTCATGTATTCTTTTTTCTTCACTGCAATAGAAAATGACTGTTGATGGCAAATACACACTCTCAATCCTTATTTCATGTCAAATTTTGAACAGGTGTGCATCTCACATGACCCATCAATGCTTTATAGTATCAACGTTCACCGTTCGATCAAATCCTTCTCTTAAAGAAGCCAGGATGTTGTTCTATTAAACTTCCTCTACTTTTTTTTTTTTTAATCTTTGAGTGTTTAAAGAAGAATTTCCTGATC